ATCCTTACTAAACATCTGATAAAAAAATGGGCTTAGTAGCTATTAGTATAACCTGTCAGTATCAGAAAATGTAAGCAGCCAATATCGACTAGAAAAACCTTTCAAGCGGGATATCTCAAAAACTGTGAATATTTGAATAGAACTATCCTACACAAAGTACCCTTTATTTTTTATGTAGAACCCGAAAAAAATATAAAAAATGTGTGTTTCCATTTAAAAAACCAAAATTGGTGTCTGGCCAGGAAAAGTGTATACTTGAATATATTTTTAATTTGTACATTCCGAGAAATGTGGCAACACAGCAAAAAGAAAAATCCATATATTCCTCATTTTAACATAGATATTGGACTTTCCCGCACTAGTGGGACACGCTGTATATTAATTAACTTTTTATTTACGTCCACAGGAAGATGAAGTGCCGGTTGTAAAACTACCCCAGGGACAAATTCAGGGGCACACATTACGTTCATCCCTAGGAAACAAACTTTATTACGCGTTTCAAGAAATTCCATACGCGGCTCCTCCAATTGGTACACTGAGATTTAAGGTAAGTTAATAGTCACTGACGTGAAAGACATAGTGTGTAAAATTTGAAAAATAATTATTTAGGGGACCCAAAAATAAATGTAGTTTTGCATACAAAGAAGTAGAATAATCTTTTATTACATCATTTTGAAATGGTCTAGTGGTTTCAGATCGCACATATACTTCTCTAAAAATAAATAATTATTTGAGGAATAGAAGAGAAAATATTTTTAATTTATTTTTGCACTTTTGAGGTAAAAACGAAATAAACACGAAGTTTATAGTTTTATATTTTTAAATTTCAAACAATATGGTGTAAATGATTAAGTAACATAAATCATTATAGTTATTAAGATAATGTCACAACCTTTATTGTCTACCTCTGAGGCAAAACCACCCCCTACCGTTTTGTATGATTGAACTAAAGATATAGTATTAACATTTTTTTCTTTATAATGCTAATAAAGGAGTATTTTATTGGATCTCTCAGAGAAATTGTTTTCAGTTATATCTTCAATATTTTGTTCATTTAACTCTTGCCGATTGGTTATCCTTCTACAGTTATCAATCATTTGTTTACAAAATATTTAGAATACTACCATAGACGCTTCTGTTCCATATATGTTACAAGATTTTTCCCTGTTTTAATTAGTAACATGTGTTTCACATTTCACAAAAATATCAATTGCCAACTGTATTTTATAAAAATCTCTTTTAATTCAGAAAATGTATTTTATATTGCATACTCATATGTATTTCAAAAAGTAGTGATGTTCCCATATGGATAAATTATTTTTAAAATTAGAGTTACTAGTAAATATTAAATTAAATTAAATTATTATACTGTTAGAACTTTATACAATACATTTGTTAACTGTATTAATAATAATAAATAATTGTAATAAATAACTGTTTAGAATATATTTCACGCTTTCTAAAATATGTATTATATTTTCTGCAAAACAGTTCATGTTTTCTAAAATACACATCTTAAGATTTCTTAAATCAAATACATAAATTCTGATCTTCAAGTAACATTTTCCTAAATAGAGTTCAATTAATTAAAAAGGTACCCGATCTTTACACCATTATTTTCTTACTGACTTGAAAATTTCTTGTGTTTAGGAAGCAACAGAACCGGAAAAATGGAAAGGGATAAAAAATACCACCCACAATACACGTTCATGCTATATAAATGGATACACTGTTGAGATTGCACCAGGCGTAACTGAAAGTGAGGACTGTCTGTATCTTAACGTGTACACGCCCGTGGTGAGTTATTTCTTTCATTATTTTAGTTTTAGTCAGAATCCCATAAACACACAATCTTTAAGTGTAAATAGAAATACTCTTCTTCTTCTTCTTCATCTAGTGGTTGGTCCTTTAAAAGTCCCATAGCACTGCGGCCTAATTAGGCCTATTGTGCGTCCCACTACTAGTCCTATTCAGCAAGTAGATTTGTCCTTTTTACAAAGTCCAAAAGCTTCCTTGCTGACACTTCTCTCAGCTCCTTGGGTTCCAAATAGGGTCTCCCAAGGAGCGCCATTCTGCTACGTGCAAATCCCGGGCACTCGCCCAGGATATGCAGAGAAGTTTCATCCGCCGATTCACATCCTCGGCAGACCGGACTGTCTACAAGCTTTAGTCTATGTAGATGTTTCTTAAAGTGACAGTGTCCCGTTATGAGTCCTGTCACTCTCCTGAGCCGGATTCTATTCAAGCTCAGTAACTCATTCGCTCTTCCATTCGAAGGATACTCCATAAGCTCCTTGGAATGGCTATGTCCTGGCCTTGAAGTCCAGTATTTCCTATGTTCTGTCTCTGTCCATTTGCCCAGAGCCCGCCTGACCACACTGGGAGATGTGCCACAGAAGGGCTCCGGGCCAATGAACACTGTCTCGGATCCCTTCCTCGCAAGTTCATCCGCTTTCTCATTTCCACAAATGCCTTTGTGCCCTGGCACCCAACACAGTCTGACTGTATTGTTGGTGGCCAGTTCAGTCAGCATTTGTAAACAGTCCCACACCAGTTTTGAACTTACCTTGTGTGCGGCTAAAGCTTTAATTGCAGCTTGACTATCAGAGAATATATATATGAGTTTACGTCTATAACCTCTACGTACATTCTCTGCCAGACACGCCATTATTGCGAAGATTTCTGCTTGGAATACAGTAGGGAACTCCCCCAGACTGTAGCTTGCACTCCATCTGGGTCTGAGTCCATATATTCCTGCACCCGTCCCTCTGGTCATTTTGGAGCCATCTGTAAACCATACTAGGCTCCACCTTTCCAGGGTATTAAACCTTTCCTCCCACTCGCTTTGATCCTCTATTCGAGTCTCAAATGGCTTGTGGAAGTGAAACTTTGGAACCATCTTGTCGGATACCATCCCAAGAATTGGTTCCGACATAGATGTATCTTTGATCCTGGAGTGGGAACCACCCCTCCAGTCATTATTATTCCTGAGTCGATATGCTGCTAGCCGCGCTTCTCTCTCCACCACTATATGCAGCGGTGGCAGATTTAGCATGACTTCTAGTGCAGCTGTCGGGGTCGATGCCATCGCCCCCGTTATACCTAAACAGGCCAATCTCTGAATTCTATTCAGTTTTTCCTTCGCTGTGGTCTGTTGTGTTTTCTGCCACCATACCACAGCGCCGTAAAGAATCCTGGGTCTTACTATCGACGTATACAACCAGTGTGACATCTTTGGTTCCAGTCCCCAGGTTTTCCCAATAAGGCGGCGGCATACACACAATGTCTGCTTCGCCTTACTCACCGCTTTTTCCAAGTGCGCATTCCAAAAAATAGAAATACTCAGACTGAATTATGTGTTCTCTATAACATCTTTAAAATAAAAATGTAACTCGCTCATATCAAATATATATGTACAATCTGTAATAAAAAAATTTTAATTTATTTTTAGAAACCAGGTTCAAATTCTTCAATTCCGGTCTTATTCTGGATTCATGGAGGAGGATTTTATTTTGGGGATGGAACTTTCCCAGTTTATGGGCCACAGTATCTTATAGACTTTGATGTCGTCGTAGTCACCATCAACTATCGCTTAGGTGCTTTTGGTAAGTAATCGTTAAATCTTTACATTTGAAATAATGCAATCTACACATCTGAAAGAAAGGCATTTCTCCTTTTGGTGAAGAACAGTCGCTCACCTGAATATAAATACTAACGATTTAATTCAGAGAAGAATTTAATAATACGTCTGTCTGAACGTTTTTTTAGGTTTCCTGACAACAGAAGACGACGTTATTCCCGGAAATATCGGCCTGAAGGATCAACATTTTGCACTACAATGGACATACTCAAACATCAATCTATTCGGTGGAGACCCAAAACAAATAACAATCGTTGGAGAGAGCGCAGGCGGAGCCTCCGTGGGTTACCACCTGATCAGCAAGAAGACAGCCGGTAAGAACTGTTACAATTATTATTTAAAACGATACCTAACGGTACTATCACGATTTTTTTGTGTCTACAAACAAATTAACAGATACTTCTCTAACTGTCTCTACTACACTTGATCACTGCATCACGATCGCTACTGGACACTGCAATCTTTATGACAACAATTAACTGACCTCTACTTCAACTAACAGACTAACAGCTAACATCTACAATTGTAGTTATAATGGAATATTGTCGCGATTTCTATAGTAAATACTTGGACCATTATGAGTATAAAATGTTTGCCGTATGTGCGCTTTCATTGCACTGAACATATTTAACGCTTTTAACATATCTCCATTTCACGATTTTCTTTTAAACCGTCATAGCCTACTTGATTACACAATAGTTCTCTAAAAATATTTCGCAACGCGATAATAGTAATAACAAATAATAACACTAGTGACAAATATAAAAGAAAATAAATAAAAGTGAAAACACCTTACATACAAAGTTTAGAATTAAGATAAGATCAGTATCATCTTGAATATGTTGAGAACATATCACTACATGCTACAAATTTTGTTTAAATCCAATTTTTGGAAAATGTTCTAATATATATTTTTAAAATAATTGCAATTTTAACTCTATTTGAAAAAAAAATTACTTTTTAGGAGGGAGAAGCACTCAAAAAATTAAATGAGTTTATACTTACATATGTAAGTCCCAACATCATAGCTGATCGTAGCAATTATGTGGCGAACATAGATTTTAATATTTCGGCAACTGCCACATAGTATTTCTTCTTTCAGTCTAATAGCTGTTTTACATTGACAATTTATTGATCAATTAATTCATGAAGTCGCTTCATTGAGAAATTGGTCAAGTGTTTTGTACCAAATCTGCTGTCAAATAACTTCATGAATTTATTCATCAAGTTTTTGACGAATTAGAGCATGTTCTAATTTTCGTCAATTTCTTCGTGAAATTTCGAAGTGCCAACCGAACAGATTTCCAGCCTCAGATCAGTAATGGGGTTATGTTATTGGCATATGTAAATAATTGTGTGGCGTCGTGCTAGTTTTGCATTGTTTTTACTGATTTGTTACTTACAAAAACTAATGTTTATATAATATGTGTCAAAACGGTACCGCTGTTGTATCACTACAATTATGAGTGGAAAGGTGACATTTTTGAAATTTATTTGCTTCTTTGATTCATTGGTAGAACTGATTCAT